TCGCAACCTTTGAAGTAACATCTATGAGCATTGAGATTTATCTCTCAATTTGTTTTTCGTGTTATAAAGCACCGTTGTAACTCTTAGTATGCTAATTTGTCCAGTATTCTTGTTATAGCTGTTGACGAGCAAGTCGAGGCGGCCAAAGCCATTATAAAGAATTTGATGATACCATATGACGTAGAGACGGTTGCGAACCCTCGTTTACTCAAACACTATGCGGAACTCGAGGCCCTTGCTCTCGAACGCCAGGCAGCTGGAACCGTTGCCGACCACACGCGTACGTGATCTAACTAACGAAATGTTACTCTACTTTGCAAATCGGCATCAAGGGTTTGTCAGCAGTTCTTTGTAGATCTGCACAATTAGGAATTTTGAGCACCTTCAGCAGTCGTCCTGGTGGCCTAATGGATAAGGCGTCGGCCTCCGGAGCCGAAGATTGAGGGTTCGAGTCCCTTCCAGGACGATCTTTTCGTATCGCTGTGTTCCATTAAAAATGACGACTTTTTCACTTATCTTGGTTTTCATGACCCCTTTACTCACGATTTTGACTGTGTGACGAAAGTGAGTTTCCTCGAGGGTTACCTGATACTTCCAATCGTTCCGTGCTTAATTTACATATTCCGCTGTATGGCGAACGAGATTACGTGTCATAATGACGATCGTCTGTACTAATTGTAGTGAGTTTACTCTTTAGTGTCCTTCCCAGCAAGTGCTACCGTCTTCAGGACTGGGTTACCTTGAGATGGAGGGGACCGTGACTCGGCACAAAAGGTCGCATAATTATGACGACTGACTAATAATATTGCATGCCTTTTTCGCTGTGAGGATGTCATAAGTACGCTTCTTGAGTATATTACTTTGGAGGAACAATCTTAGTAACAAACGACTCCCGTTATTTGTTTCTCGGCCCCCACTTAGATCTAAACACTGGTCCCGCCTTTCGGATGAGGTGAATGTGGCCCACGGGCTGGTGTTTTAACATATGGCCCAGCCCCGCAGTCATCTGAAAACAAATAGTGAGAAGTCTTTTGGTTTTGTGATTTGTTCTTCAGGGGACGTTGTTCTTACTAGTTCAAGCGAAATAGTGCCCGCTAGAAGACCCGGACTGATTAGGGAGTTAGGGTCAAGTGCATGCCCTGCCAACACCAGCCCCGCCTGGCCCCATCTGCAGTGCGTGTACTGCAGGTATTTATACTCCAAGTCTGCCCTCTCACGGATGCGTGTGCGTTTACAGTATCCTATTTGGACAACACAGCTTCCAGGAGACCGGTAAGAATAGCTAACCCGCTTGTAAGCTACCCTATCTCAATCTTCAATGTGTATAGTTATCAGTAGTACTAACGTAGAACTTAGGCGTCATACTGCATAGCTGTTCCCTGGCTTGGCGTATATTGATTGAACTTAGCAGGTTGCTGATCAACATGACATATACTGAA